TTTTTTTTTTTTTTGGGGGGGGGGGGGGGTATATAGATTAATTTATGAGGGATCGGATTACTTTTCTTAATAAGATTGACCCCTTAAGATAAAACTTTAAGTAAATATGGTATTTGAGTTTACTAAACTTGAACGAGCAATTCGATTTGATAAAGACTAAAAATGAGCATATGAATTTTAAGATTGGTTGGTTCAAAATGAGTTATTATTTTGGGATATGTTATGGGAAATCAACTTATAAGAGTTTTGACTATTTCTCAATTATTTTTAAGCTATAAGAGTTTTGACTATTTCTCAATTATTTTTAAGATGGAACTTTAAATTTTAATATTTTCTTCTCTTTTGTTTATTCATTTGAGGGGTCATGCATTTTTTGCGACTGCAAGGTGGCAATATTTGTTACAATATTTGGTACTCACATGATTGGATTTTGTCTCATTAATCACAAAATTCACAATTCAAGAAGAATAATTCTATTTGTGGAATGTTTTGTACAATTTAGTTGACAGGGTTAGCACAACTCATATCCAAGAACTCTACCTTGGAAGATAATAGGCCTTGTGACTTTTGTTTTGAATTTGAAACTTGAGAATTTAGTTATTACTTATCTATAACCCTTTGTAACGGGTCTGACTACGCACTAATGGAATTTTCAATCTGAGTTTTATCAAACGAGATTAACCAGAATTCTTGATATATTGAATGGACTAGTATTTTGTCCATTTAAACATTTTTATCTTTTTGATTTGATATAAATGGTAAATTTGAGGAATTAAAAGGAACGTTAAGATCATGTTTAAATCTTTGAAGTTTTCGATGATCGGTAGAGAGGGTTAACATTGTATTATATGTTGCACTTATCAAGTCACCCAAGGGAATGTTACATGTCAAAACAATAGTTGTCAAAATTGCCAGATATTATTTTTTCCCTATGAATTTTACAGATATTCTTGTCAATTCCGTTGACTAATAGATTAATAAGTGGAGACTATCTTTTCAACTTGTGATCGTAAACGTCTTCATTAGTCAATATCAACTAATTAATTAACCATCTTCAACAAGAATTTCACTTTTTCGTTAGAGTGCTTAAAGGTTGGTGTTTTAAGATGACACTTCCAAGTTTTAATATGATGATATGGCTCACCAAGTTCAAACGAGCTAGTGAATTTCAAAATTAAGTTTCTTAAATGAGTCATTATCTTGTGGAACATAATAAGTCGAATAAGCAAACAATGTATATTCTAAAATTGAATGAAACAAAAGACTGAAACTGCACTCAAGATTTACCCTAAACAACAAATGCAATACCATCAAATTACAAGGAAAAAAAATAAAATCAAACAATGCCTAACTGTAAGAAAAATAGATGTAACACTCTGCTATACAAATTTCTACAGTCATTTCCCCCAAGATGGCTCCTGAACACGGAAAATTTTCGTGAGCACCTGTCACCTAGCATATGAACGCAGACCACCTAGCATGTATATTTATAAATATATGAATCTTGACTAGCTTATTTATTGTAGGTGAGAAGTGGACAATGAAGACCAAGATAGTGAAAACCTATCTAGTGCACAAGTTAATTACATGTCACGAACATGGAGGACATTGGGATGCTTGACTACAATATCATACATGTAAATTGATTTGAACTTGGAAAAGCCCCTAGGTCAAGAAAATGAGATCAATAGAAGAGTGCTTGTGGAATTGGAATAGTTGTGGGTCACCACCATAATACCTGTCCCAACCTAAATCCCTCAGAACCCGCTCACTAAAATAAATTAAGGCTATGTTTGATTGTATTCCAATTCCATGAAAAATGTAAATCAAATTTCATCTTTCCAATTTTTTGTTGTTTGATTGGCAAAATTTTATGTTGGACATGGGCTGGTGCTTCACTGTTAATTGAACTCTAGCCAATGTTAATGAGCTGGACATTCGTTTGGGCCTCACAGTAAACTCGGTCATTTGAATGACCCAAGTTAAAAACGTGTTGTTGGTTAACACGACTATGACCTTTTGTTTTCTGATTGATCTTGGACCATTCATCTGACTTATTCCCAGCCGTTGGATCAATGTGATTTGTGATGTGATATAAATAACAGCCTTTCTCTCTCTTTCTCTCTCACTTCTGGACGATTGAGTGTGAATTGTTTCTGGAAGCATCTAGGGTTCTTCCGGTTTCTTGAGGGTTTTCTTCGATCTGTTTACTATGTGTTATTTTCTCTGAAAATCTCTGAGTGAAGATTATGAAGATTGTATTTGTAAGCAATCATAGAGAGAGCAAATTGTGAGTTCACTGCGTTGTATTTTGAAAGGAGAGGCGAGAGAAAATATTGAAGGAACTTGAGTTTCCTTCATACATTTATACTGTTCTTGAGAAATTTCTTAGTGGAATCGAGCAATATCTACTTGTAGATGCTCAACGGGTGAGTAGGCTTTAAGCTGAACATTTGGGCCTTCGTGGCGAAAAATCTCTCGTGTTCTTCTTTTTCAGTTTTCTGTACTTTAAATCGTTTGATATTTGATTCTGAGACCAACAACTGGTATCAGAGCGATGGAAAATTGTTCGATTAAGTTTTTCGCCCTTCTTCGAAAACTGTTCTTGCTAAAATCCTAAGAGTTTTCGAGTTTACAAAATTCTTTTGTGGAATACTTGTTTGATTCAATTTTTTATTGAATCCTTAAACACCAAAAGTTTTCTCTGAAATTGTTTGCTTGTAAATATCTGGAATAATCTTTTCACACTTATAACTTGTGCTTAATAAGGTACACTGTTTCCTGTGAAAGTTTTTGACGTGGTTGTTAAGGTAATTGGCCTACCACAACTTACCTTTGTCCAAGATCTCCTGCGAGGATCTGGGAATTTGAGGGAGTTGTGGATTTATGGTTCATCAGTCCTTAGACCTGTTAAACTGGACACTTGATATTTTTTTTTTTGGTATTTCTGCTTTCAGTGATTACTGTGTTGCTATATATTGTACTCTTGAATCTTTTGAATTGTATAACTGGATCTTGTAATGTGCATGTTTTTTCATTATAGGATAGTAGTTCTTGATATATAATACTTTTGTCCTATCTTGAAAACTGCTCAATCTGCTGCTTGGTTATAGCAATTCAATCTGTTATACTTAGTGTACTAAATAATTGCTTGTTTTGTGAATCTATCTGTTAATCATGTCTACTACACATAAGTTTGAAGTAGAAGTTTGGAGGGGACTGGGGATTTTAATCTTTGGCGTAAAAGATAAGGGCTCTACTGTTACAGTAGAGGTGTGCAGGTGCCTTAACGGGACATGGGGTATTGAAATTAGTGCTTATAGGAGACAAGAACTAGATGAAATTGCTTGGAGCACAATCTTCTTGCATTTGTCTGATAATGTGATTAGAATAGTAGGAGAAGCTACAACTACTGAAGCACTATGGACCAAATTAGAATCCCTATACTTAACTAAGACTGCCAAATAAGTGCTACCTTTTGAGGCAATTTTACAATTTCAGATTTGACACCTCTTCCACTTTAGAAGAAAATATTGATAAATTCACAAAATTGATTCAAGACCTAAGCAATTGTGATGAAGAGTTATCAGATGACCAACAATCTGTTGCCTTGTTAAATGCTGTGGGTGATAAATATAGGGAAATTAGAAATGCCCTAGAATATGGGAGGGATGATCTCACTGTTGACATCATTGTCTCAGCTTTAAGAAATAGAGAGCTTGAACTGACAATTGAGACAAAACATTCTAGATTTGGGGAAGGTCTAAACATTAAAGAAAAACTCAATCCTACTAAGAAGAAAAATCAGTGTAACTTCAATTCCCAAAAGGCGGGGGAGGGGACCCCCTCCCCAACTTCCTAAATTTAGATATCAAAATAAGAGGCAATCAAAAACCAAAACTCAAACCAGGAAGTGCTACTACTGTGGCAAAACTGGCCACCTCATAAAAGACT